AAAAATTTGGAATTAATGAATAAGATTTATATAGAGAATAGGTTAAATAAGGATAAAATGAAAACTAGCACTGTTCATTGCGCGGAAGGTGCTCGATGTGGTTCCGTAGCCCTGCCCCTCCTCCGTCGCCTGCCCCTAGCCGCCCCGAGCCGCGCCGACGTCGCCATCGCCGCCTGCTGCCGCGCGCCATCGCCGTCGCGTCGTCGCCTCACGCCCCGCGCCCCTGCCCCGCCGCGCGCCCGTCCCATCTCCCCTACCGCGCGTGCCTCGCGCCCCGAGCCGCCGCGCCGCCATCCCGCCACCCCGCGCGCCCACGCGCCCCGTCACCGCTCATCCCATCGCCGCGCGTGTTCCATCGCCGCCTCGAGCCCGCGCCGCTGTCGCCGTCGCCATCCCATCGCCGTGCGCTGAGTCCCGCGCCGCGCCGCGCCGTCCCATCACCGCGCGCCGAGCCCCGTGCCGCCCCGAGCCCCGCGCGCCGCCCCGAGCCCCCGCGCCGCCGTCGTGTCAGGCCGGCCACCCCTCCTCCTCTCTTTCTTCCCCCTCTCCCCTATAAATACTCCACACCCCCTCTCCATTTCCCCCACTCCATCTCCCTCTTTCTCCCCTCTTCCCTCACCACCGAGCCACCGCCTTCGTGCCGCCGCGCCGCCGCCCTCGCGCCGCCCTCGCGCCGCCGCACCGCCGCCTTCGTGCCACCGCGCCGTGCGCCGTCGTCGCGCCGTCATCACCGCCGCCGCCATCGTCGGTAAGCGGCCACCTCCTCCCCTTGCTCAGTCGCCGTCGCCAGAGAGCCGAGAGAGAGAGGAGGGAGAAGAAGCCGGGAGGGAGAGAAAGAGAGAAAAGAAGAAAGAAAGAAAAAGGAGAGAAAGAAAGAAAAGAAAAAGGGAGAGAAAAGAAAGAAGGGAAAAGAAAAGAAAGAAAAGAGGAGAGAAAAAGAAAAGAAAATAAATAAATAAATAGAAATTAGAGGGAGATTAGGGAAGTTAGAAAATTTAAAATAATTAGAATTTAATTATAGATCAATTATAGTCGTAGAATTGAAAAAATTTAATATAATTATAGATTGTTTTGGTAATCTCTATAGGTGATCAATTCACAGTAGGTACTCGGATTTAATTAATAGGAATTTTAGACGTATATTATATTTAATCGTTTAGTCATAGACTAAATTAAATCGTATAATATTATAAGATAATTTTTGGATTCCGGCCGATATTTAGCTCGCGATAGAAATTTCTAACCTATTATATGGATATAATACTCGGGTAGATTAAATTAAAAACTTATGATAACAAAATATTTATACCCGCAAAAATAGTTTAGGATGTATAAATCGAAATTGGGTATGCCCTAGTTCGTGAATAGTAAAGTTAATATAAAAGAATCGACTTTCGCATTCGACTTCCATTTGGATTTATTTGGATTTTTATTTGAATTCTAACCGAATTCAAATCAATTTTCGCACGTAACTATAGAGCCCGAGGGAGTTGCGGATCCAAGTGAAGGCCAAGACCCGCAAGACTTTGAGCAAGGCAAGTCATCACTATCCCTTGAACATGTTGATCCCAATTGCGAAATTATTTTTATTTACAAATAAGAATGCATGCAATGATGAACATCCTATTTGTGAATATGCCATACCTTGATTATTGTTTACCCTTATTCCCTTGTAACCATGATTACGTATGAGTCCTTGGTCAACTATAACAAATGCTTAGAGATGCTACTCTAGAATCATGCATACTCATATTTATCGAATGCTATATGCTTGGCCAATTACCTTTGGGAAGGTAATTGAGATGCGGCATGTGGAGACATGAGCGCCACATTGCCATGATGTTGATGACATGATTTATGAAAGGAGAAATAAAATTAAACAACTGTTTTCGACTGGGGCGGATGGAGGATTTGGGTGGTATCCGGAAAAGGCTAGTACCGTCCCCGGTCAATTAAGGACCGAGCCATGAAGTTAAGCATGAAACGACCCCCGTACAACCGCACTTCTCGTATGGGTATAGACCTAGCGGAATAGATAGCTGAGCGGAGGCAGTATCCATACATAGTGGTTTCTTGATGTGTGAGGTAGGGGCTCTACGGTGGGGCAGCCATTGGTAGGACTGCGAGGCGGGTGTCTACAGTGGTGTCGCCATCGGTAGGACTGCCATGTGAGAATCTAAACATAATTATAACTTAATGCATGTGTGAGTCTTCCCTTCCCGGGTGCGCCAGAACTCCTCTCACTGCTAGAAACCATGTACGCCTAGAGTGCATGAGGATGTAAAGTTCATGGAGCGGGTACTGCCAATGCGAGGTTATCGAAAAGCTTTGCCGTGGCGCGTCTCATGTGTTGGGACGAGGCTCATGTGTTGGGCAGTCGCGGAGTACGGGTAAAGTGTACATCCACTGCAGTGTGAGTAAACCAAATCTATTCGAATAGCCGTGCCCGTAGTTACTGAGCACCGGGACATGTATTACACTTGGCTAGACTCTAAATTCTTAACTTGTGTGGGATGGGATATTGCATGATGATTTCTATACTGATGGAGCCACTTCCTGAGAGGCGGGAATGTGGACGTCCTCAGAAAACCATGATGACTCAATGGCGGGAAGCTATCCTTGGGATCACAATGGATGGTGGACAAAACCGTCATTGTTTGATATGAACACTGGTACTAAAAGTTGATCAGTCTGTGCTAGGTCTTAGGTTTGTGGAAAGAATTACAAAACTTGCTTTGCGCAAAAGAACCATAGCCATCCTTTGAATACCCCTGTCATATGCATTGTTGCTGTGGTGGCTTGCTGAGTACAGTTGGTACTCACCCTTGCAAATATAAACTTAATCAGAGGCCGGAGATGAAGCTTCGGAGGATCCCTATGCCTATTACCAGGAGGGTGATGAAGACGATGGCGCTCAGTAGGTCTTAATTACGGTCGTTGCCTGTGGCAATGGCGTGCCGCTGCCTTAACTCCACTGCCTTACCTACTTCTGTTTTTTGAATGTATTCCGGACCGCTCGGTCTGATGATTTAAGACTGTGCCTGCGGGCTTATGATGTAATAATTCGTACTAGACTCTCGTGTATGTGCATTTGGTATTTCAGCTATGAATTCGTGTGTACCAGACTACTTGATCCAGGGAAATGGTACTGTTTACACGATTGATTCCTGTTATAAAAACGGGGGTCCACACCGTTCCACCACCGTTCTTGTCCACGTCCTCTACCTCATCCTCGTCTGGTAACCGGAGCTGGTCGTGCCCACGGCGTAGCTCTACGTCTTCCTCTTTGGCATCTGGTACAACCGGTTCCAGCCGCGCGGCCCCGCCGGCATAGATACGCGGTTGTCGCAGGCCGACACGGTGGAGCCGGACAACCTGGAGGAGTAGTTTGACGCCATGCCGCCGCCGGAGGTGTTTCGGGCTTGCTACGAGAGGTTGTGGACACTGGCGGGGCAGAAAGGAGACAACGGTGTAGGGGATTGGCCAATTGGGGCTTATGGTGAGGGTTTTGGCCGAAGTAAGGACGAGCGAGGCGGCGGCACGGAAGGGAGGGCCACCTCGGGAGAGCGGGATGTTGAGGACGCCGGTCGACCGGTTGATGCCACCCCCTCCACCGCTGACTCAGGCGAGGCCGTACTCGCTGGAGTTGGTGCGAGGAGTAGCCGGCAAAACATGGGGCCGACATCATGTCCCGCCGGCGCCCCCTCTCCTGCGGGTCTCATCTCCCCCCTCCGACCGGCACCAGCTGCTACCGCCGGCGCATCCTCTCCTGCCGCTCCTCTCCACCGCCGAGCTCGCCATCGCGTCAGCCGTCTCTCTCCACCTCTCCCGCCGCCGCTGCCCCTGCTCTGCCACCGGCCGCCTCACGCCCCACCGCGCTTGCTCGAGAGAAGGAGAGAAGAGAAGAGAAAAAGAAAAGAAGGAGAGATGTGGGGTCTACACCATTTTCTCTCACTTACATGTGGGCCCCACATATTTATTATTTTTATTTTTATTGCTGACTAGGATGCCACGTCAGCAAAACCGGGCGCAAATACTGGCATGGGATCTTTTTCGAACGGTTTGAGTGAGTTTAGGGGTGAACATTTCTGGTTTTGTGGTTGATGGACTAAAAAAATCTCGCTGTTAAATTGAGGGACCTCTGGTGTACTTATTGCATCCACAAAACATGAAGCAAAAACATCGTGGGTCAACCTAATCGACCCATGTTGATCCGCTGGCTCGACCCATATATCCATCAAACCACTATATACAAGATTCCACAGCTTATACGCGTAGTACACACGATAAATATCGTTTCGTATGGCTAATCTGTGATGATTTTTTTTTGCTGTATTGATCTATTATAATTATGAATTGTCTGACTTCACATCATTGCTGCTTCGCGAACAATGAGAAGAGCAAGAACAGACAGGATGGGTCGACCCACGAAGGGATCGTGGGTGGGTGAGTGAGTGGATGTGCCATATTGGATTTGTTTGTCGAGATGACCCATGTCCCGGAACTCACCACACTGGGATTGGCACGATTAGTTTTTTCATTCGTATCCGAAAACTTCTTCCAACGTCCGATCAAACAGATGTGACACCCAAAATTAGTTGCGCTTTGGACGGATGCAGTGACCTCGATCTTACATTCCCTCGACAGGGATTTGAGGACCCGTCGGGACAAGACAGGACCATATTTTGCTTTAGATTTTGTGGTCAGGGTCGTTCAATCCGATGCATCAATCTTGGCAACCCCAATTAGTACATTACAGTTCGTGCGAATAAAATAAGAAAGAATTCAGCAGGCATATACTACCTCCGTCCTAAAATAAGGGTAGCCGTGAATATCCGTGCCCAACATTTAACCGTCCGTCTTATTTAAAAAATTTTTGAAAAATTTAAAAATATTTAGTCACACATAAAGTACTATTATGTTTTATCATCTAATAGCAATAAAAATACTAATCTTAAAAAATTTTTAAATAAGACGAACGGTCAAACGTTAAACGTGAATAGTGCAAAACTACATTTATTTTGGGACGGAGGGAGTACAACTTATATTTATCAAGTCCAAATTTTGGTACAACTAATTCCAACATTACAATGTTTTGTCGTGTCTTGTTCAACAGAAAACAGTGTAAAGCAAAAAAAAGAATTCACAGTGAGCTAATGCGATCCGCTCACCATGAACTGGCAGACATTTTCGGCTACTGATTACAGTGTAACATAACAGCCAAAATCAGATCAAAGCTGGCAAATTAGTTCAAGGCGGCCGATCGAGGACTGCACCCTGACCGTTGGATCCATCAAATAAAAATTTAGCGGTAGTGACGACGAACACTCACACTCACACTCAAACCAGCCGCACGCACGCCGCGGCTGCACGTCACTGGGTCATAGTCGAGAAGCCGCCGCGAATTGCCCCGAGCAGCCTCTGCAACGCGGCGTACGACGAGCCGCCGCCCGGCGCCACGGCGTTCCGGCACACGGCCTTCATCTCCGCCGCCTTCTCCCTCACCTTCCTCCCCACCTCCGACGCGTCGTCCATCAGCGACCTCACCGCGCGCTCCAGCTCCGCCGCCTCCACGAAGCTGTCCCGCCGCTTCCCGTCCACCCCGAGCGGCACGGCCACGCCCATGTCGCGCACCAGCTCGAACGCGTTCAGGCGCTGCTCCGCGTACAGCGGCCACGGCACCAGCGGCACGCCGTGCCACAGGCTCTCCAGCGTCGAGTTCCACCCGCAGTGCGTCACGAAGCTGCCGATGGCGGCGTGGGCGAGGATCTCCTTCTGCGGCGCCCACGTCGGCCACACGAGCCCCCTCCCCTTGGTCCTCTCCAGGAACCACTCCGGGAGGAGCTCGTCGAGGCTCGCGTCCGTCGGGTGCACCGTGCCGGCGGCGGGCGGGCCACGCAGCGCCCACAGGAAGCGGTGGCCGCTGCGCTCGAGCCCCGCGGCGACCTCGCGCGCCTTCGCGGCGTCGAACCAGCCCATGCTCCCGAAGCAGAGGAACAGCACCGACGCCGGCGGCTGCGCGTCGAGCCACCGGACGCAGCGAGCGTTCGACGACGGCTTGTCCTCGAGGTCGAGCACCGGGCCGATCGGGTACAGCGGCGGCGCCGTTCGTCCCGGCACGCAACGGCCGTCGGCGATCGCGGCGAGGAGGGCCGGCTCAAGCTCGGCCACTGTGTTGATGATGATGCCGTCGGCGTCCATGAAGCGGCGGCCGTGGTAGAGGAACCACTTGAAGTTCGGGCTCTCCTTGCGTCCCATGAACGCGGGAAGGGAACCAGCGGGCACCGGCGGCAACCCGGGGACGTCGACCGTGCCGTCGAACTCCTCGAAGTCGACGGGGACCTCCTCCTCCAGCGCCGGCAGCCGCAGCATCAGCGCGAGCAACGCGGCGGTGGACGTGAAGTACACGTACGTCGGGACGCCGGCCTCGCGGGCCGCGTCGAGCACGCCGGTGGCGAAGAAGTCGACGACGAGCGCCGCGGCGCCCAGCTCCGCCGCCGCAGCCCTCACGTGGGGCGCCTGCAGCTGCATGTACCGCGACTTGAACTCCTGCACGTTGCCGGCGGCGCAGCCCATCGGCGGCGGCTCGACGGCGGGGAGGCGGTGGAACCGGACGCCGAGCCCGGATGCCTCGACGCGCCCGACGTGCGCGTCGACCTCGGCGGCCGACTCGGACGTCGCCGGGCGGACGACCAGCACGGTGACGGTCACCGCGGGGCCCTCGCCGTCGCCCCGGCCGCCGTGAGCGAGCAGCCGCTTGCCGGCCTCGATCAGCGACATGAGGTGGCCGGAGCCGGCCTCGGGGAGGAGGAGGACGTTCGCGCTCGCCATCGCCATTGCTTTGGCCAAATTGATCAGCGGCACGACGACGACAGACGACAGTGTGATACACTGCTCAGGCAGGCTGTATTGTAGCAAAGCAAGCAGGCAAAGATAGTGTCCGATCATGTGCAATTTATGCTATGTCATGTCTGCTACATCAGATGAACAGTGGATTAGATCTGGCTAATTAAGGCAAAACAACGGCGCCTATATTATTAGGTAAGATCTCACTGATATGTGATACATTACTCAACAAACGTACGTACATATTTAAATTCAACGTATTCAAGTTAAGAAAAAGAATAAATATGCATGTGATATATCATTCAACAAATATACAAGTTTAAATTGTGAATACACATTAACTTGCTATAGTTTCATTAGCTCTTTTTGTTACAACTTATAGAAGTTAAATTTTGAATTGTATATCTGTAGAGTGATATATATCATATTAATTTACCATGTTAATTTTGTTAAATTTTGTCGTAACTATTTAGACGACATGTAAACAACAATGAGACGGAGAGTTTAAAATTTATTCCCACGTCATCACAATACAGCTACAAACAGCAGTTCTACAATACCTTACCCTCTAATAGGTGATTCACACAGCAGTTGACAAGACTGACGACATCATGTAATATATATATATATATATATTTAGATCTATATCTTTATCAATAATAATACTTTACGAGTTTTAAATTGATGCAATAGTATAGATTGACCACCACTTTGTTTTGCAACCACGAATATCTCGCACGTCCTTAGAGACAGAGATCAACAACAAATTCCCTAGCCTCAATAAAATTATATTAAAATTACGTTCACATATACATAACATTATTAGGTACATCAGGATTTTAAATTGTAATAGGTGGTAGCATGCTGCATGCTCCCACAACACCACACCATTCATATTTGCCTATTATTTTACTTTTAGTTCTCTTAGAGTGTGTACAATAGCAGGCTATTAACCAGCTGTAAACATATTTTAATGAGAGAAAAAATGAGAGAGAATAGTAGCGGGCTACAAATCTATAGCCAACTGCAGCACGGACTTCAAGACGTAATGTGTGTATGACAAGTGGGACCATGTACTAATTGTATATAGTAAGCAACTATTGTATGAATTATCTATTACATTGGCTATAGATGATTTGAAACTACTAGCAGTAGGCTATACTATTAAACTTACTTTTAGTCAATCAAACCATATATAATATTGGGTGAACACCACCACATCTATTTTATCAACGGCGTTTGTTACACGTGCTGACGTGCATGCTTAATAAGTTAGCATGCTGTCCCTTTCTCCAGCGTCGCAATCAGATCAGGCACCACGGGATCACATACAGATAGGAATGCATGTGTCCTGTGCTGTGAGCCTAGGCAAACTCTTTTTTTTTCAAACTTGGTGCAAATGCAGACACTCAAAATGCGCGTATACTGATCCCAACGCATACACGTACATCCTACCCTTATTATCAACTTCGGAAGACTGGACCAGCATATATTAAGATTTACGAAATCACCATAAGCGCCTCGCTATCAACAGATACATCACTTACCACTGAAAAAATAATTAGTTGTAAATGTGAGCGCTCGTGATAAGTCTAGGACTTGTACCTAAAATCACTCAATTGGAAAATTGATTGTGAATATAAAAATACTATTTAGAGTTTAATAGTTGTTTTTTACAACTTGTACAAATTAAATTAGAACTGGTATGTCTGTTTGGTATCTACCTTATCTTTTTTTTTTATTTTTTTCATAATAATTATTTAGTTGGAATACAGTAAATAATGAAATTTGCTCGAGTGATTAGAATCTTTTTCCAGTGAGGGTGTGTTTAGTTCCATGCCAAAATTGAAAGTTTGAAGAAAAAAGTTGAAAGTTTATGTGTGTAGGAAAGTTTTGACGTGATGGAAAAGTTAGAAGTTTGAAGAAAAAGTTGGGAACTAATCAAGGGCTGAGCCAGTTCTTATATGTCAGAAGGAACCTGTTAGTCTGCAAGATGATTAGGCCATCCACTGCCTTGATTATTAGGGTTTGTTCTCCTACCAAGGATATAAATCCGGGGAAAGGGACGCAGATCGAACCGGTGCACAAAATTGTCCAATCTAAACTTATAGTTGTGTACGAAAAATTAAGTGTGCTTAACAAACCGACTGTGGAGATTATGGTTACCCCATATCTACATGGCGGTTATATTCCAGCTGGATATACGGTACCAAATATAGATAGAATATCTTTATGAGGACTCGGGTTAGATTCTAAACTTGTATGTCAAGAAAATACCCGGGATCCTAGTCGGTTACGATTGTATTTTATCTGTAATCCCATATTCCGTTAGGATATGGACTGTACTTTGTAATACGGATCCCTTCCCCTATATAAGGAGGGGTCCGGGTTCCTCTTGGGGCGATTCTTTTTTCCAGTTTATACAATCAATAACACACTCGGCGGAATCATCCCCGGACAGGAGTAGGGTATTACTTCTTGAATAAGAAGGCCTGAACCTGTATAAAAATCCTTCGTCTCCAAACCCATCCACTTTCCAAGCTTGATAGCCACCCCCTTTTATTATTGCCGAAATCTTGTTTCGACCGTTGGCGCGCCAGGTAGGGGTAGCGTCAAATTCTCGCCGACTAAGTGCGATGGGTTTCGTTTCTGGCATCGACGACTTCGCCTTCCCCCCGGGCAGGCGTTCCGGTTCGGCAGCTTCAACTTCATCACCAATGACTTCGGCAAGATCTCTCTCCTTGACTCGGATTCAAACCAGTCGGGGAGAGACCAGGTCCCCGTGCCATTCGGTATTCCGAACTCGCCCGAGGCCTACTCCAAGATCATCTCTCCCGAGTCGGCTTCAAACCACTCGGACGAGATCCAATCTACTCTTCCGCGATCAGATCAAGATGACGGGTCCTATCCCCCAATCCTGATGAAACTTCCTGATGATTTGGCCGCTGTCTTCACAGTCAAGACATCTCCCACTCGAAGATCTAGGCGAGCTCCAGCTTCGGCCCTGATCCGATCTAGATCTAGGGAGGTTGGCGTTATACTCCAACCTCTTGGGACAGTCTCGACGGAAGAGTTGGATGGCTACCTCAGCTCCCCCGGCGTCAGTTCTCGACCAACCAAGATCCTCGACTACGATGACTTCGGCTACCACTACGACCACGGCGACCTCGACAACTTCGACGACAGCTATGAGGATAACTACACGCCCCTCTTCTTCGGCGTATTCATGGCTGACAACGAAACGGAGGAACAGCGCCAAGCCCGAGAAGCGGACCAAGATCGCGCACGGCAAGAAGCTGAACGTCGCCGACTAGAGGAAGAGCGACAGCGACAAGAGCGAGAACGACTACAGCGTGAGCAACAGGATCGCGAACGGATTGCAAAGGAGGCTGAAGATCGACGACAGCGCGCCTTGGAATCTGGGCGCCGAGCAAGAGAGCTCATTGGGCAACAAGACGTCGATGGAACAGCGGTCTTTCGCACCCCCCAGCAGAACGCGGTTGCAGCAATCACTCTCCTCGACACCCTCCTCAAGGAAGATGCACTCAACCAAGCCGATCATGTTGTCAACATCTTGAACCAGACGAAGACCATGATCGCTGCCTCGGTTCCAGCCAACTCTGCAAGCACCCGTACCCCGACTGGTAGCCGAGTCCCTCACCTCCGATCTCATGATTATCATTAGCCAAGCCTCAGCATCATCGGCACAATATCTAGTCGCAGGAGCAGGGGTCACAACAAACGATCTGTTCACTCGCCTCCCAAACGTCACAGGGAGCGCCGAGTCGAACGGCCTCGCTCTCCACCTCACTAGCGTCCCGTCGACCTTCGCGACACGATCAACCAGCGCCGTGCAGCACGAGGTCACCGCCATTCACCAAATCGCTATGACGACGACGTGGATGGAGTAGCTGCCTTCACTAATGACCTGCGTCGAGTGGATTGGCCAGCCGGTTTTAAGCCGACTGGAATCGAGAAGTACGACGGCACCACTAATCCGGAGTCTTGGCTCATCGTCTACGGACTTGCAATCCGCGCAGCAGGAGGAGACAGCAAGGCCATGGCAAACTATTTGCCTGTGGCCCTAGCGGATTCCGCCCGATCCTGGCTTCACGGCCTACCCCGTGGCACGATCGGATCATGGGCGGAACTTCGTGATCACTTCATCGCCAACTTCCAGGGTACCTTTGAACGCCCCGGCACACAGTTTGATCTCTACAACATCGTTCAGAAGTCTGGAGAATCCCTTCGAGATTACATCCGACGCTTCTCCGAACAATGCAACAAGATCTCCGACATCACCGACGACGTCATCATCGCCGCCTTCACTAAAGGCATTCGCCACGAGGACCTAGTCGGCAAGTTCGGACGTAAACCTCCCAGGACGGTTAAGCAGATGTTCGAAAAAGCCAACGAGTATGCCAAAGCCGAAGATGCTATTACCGCGTCCAAACAGTCGGGCACCACTTGGAAGCCAAAGAAGGATACGCCGACCGCAGGAGGGAGTGGAAGTAACAACAACAATGATCGCAAGCGTAAGCCCGAAGAACTTGTGGCGACCACCTCTCCATCTTCCCGACAACGTTCCCGCGTCAACACCTTCGACAAGATAATGAACTCCCAATGTCCGCATCATCCCAATTCCAACCACGTGGCCAAAGATTGCTTCGTCTACAAACAGTTCGCGGAGCAATACGTCAAGAACGCACGTAAACCTTCAAACGAAGATCAAGGCACATCAAAGAAGAAAGATGATGAAGACAATGCCCCGACTGGTTTTCAAGATCATCGCAAAGAACTTAATCACAACTTCAGCGGACCCCTAGCTTATGAGTCTAAGAGAAAATAGAAGCTAACAGAACGGGAGATCAATGCGGTTCAGCCTAATACGCCCCAATATCTTCGGTGGTCAGAGATAGCAATTAAATTCGACCGCTCGGATCATCCCGACCGAGTGGTCCACCCGGGGCGGTACCCCCTGGTACTAGACCCAGTGGTTCGCAATGTCAAGCTCCGACGGACTCTCATCGATGGTGGCAGCGCACTCAACATCCTTTTTGCTAAGACCTTGGACGATATGCAGATTCCTCGCATGGAATTAAAGCCAAGTAATGCACCCTTCCACGGTGTTATCCCAGGATTGTCAGCTACACCACTCAGCCAGATCACTCTTCCAATTACCTTCGGCAC